TTTGCTTTTAAGAACTCTTCCCTTTTATCTTGTCATTGTTTCAGTAATTAATCAGAGTATGTTTAGTACAAAGTATTTGATTGCCTTAAAAAGGAACAAATCCTAAGAGGTTGTCAGTTCAGAGTGATGTAATTTAGACTGTGCCTAAACCCCAGCTCAGGGAAGTATTCACCTCAATACTTCTCCTCTCTTTCCTTATTTAGAAAAATTCCTAGGACCCAGCAGGTATCTGGGGATACTTAAATCCAGAGATCAAAGCATTGAACTGACAAGACAGATCTTTCTGCAAAACAGAGAAAAGCCTCAGGATTGCAGAAAAATCTGACATCTAAAATATACTGGGGTTAACACACACACCCAAATAATAAAAACAGCACCTGTTGCTTTAAAAAACAAATGCTGTCTGTGGTCATTGCTAAGCAACCACAGCAGTATTGTCAGCTAAAGCCTTGGTTTCTGCCACCAAAGGTGGGGGGGCAGGCCCCTTAAGCGGTTCTGGCCTCTGAGGGAGGATTCCGTGGGGGCAGATTTTCATATTATCAGTGAGTTCTGTCAAGATGTTTCTTACTCCCTCCCTTGTGGTTCAAAGGAATTTCATGTCACAAAATAAAAATTACACAATGCATTAATCCTTCTTACCAAGAAAATGCCTGTTGCTTAAACCCCATTAAAAGCCCCAGCAAAGTAAATAGCCTTATAGCACCTCCTGAAGATATCTAAGAATGGTACCTGTCACTGAAAACCTGAGGAAGTCATGCAGGCATCCTCACAAGTATGCCTTACAGGAGTTCTAGGGATGGTTTTAGGCCTCTGTGCATACTGGCTTGATCTGCCCCTCCTTCCCCAAAGGGGTTGCAAAGAAAGACATTTCTAATGAATGCTGATGATTAAGTGGCTAGATCAAAGTGGAAAAATAAAGTCCTGTTAATCAATGTCAGTTCATAAATGCAATAGTGACAATCTCAATCTTGGTGTGATTAGTCCCTTATTTTTTAGCACTGCTCCACCTTCCCCTAAGATGTGAGTGTACCTAGGTACTGGTAGGGACAAGAGAAAGGAGCTGCTGGGGTATGAGACAGATAATAGCTGGCAGTTGATGGGGGCTACAAAATGCCAGGGGGTTTATGGATTTTACAGAGAACAGGAATCTGAGTGAGGGAAATTTGCTGAGTCACATAAATGCCTGGAGGGGGAAGAGATATGGAGCTTTTGTGGTGAGGTTGAAGGAGAGAGAATGGGAAGCTGGAGCACAATGATTTATTTATTTACTTTATTTGCAGTGCAGGGCTCAGGGTGAATTACAAGTTGATAAAACCATTAAAACAGTTAAAACATTCTTCCAACCAAGCTCTACAAGCAAACAAATAAATGATACAACATGCAATTACAGCATACAAGATGGCAATCTGGCATAGGTTTGCAGTGCTCCTATAGGATCTACACAAAGGTGTGCCCATGATAAACTAACTGGGAAGTGGGCAAATCACCACTGATAATCTCTGATGAGATAATATACCAGGCCAGAGCAGGGTGCAGCAAGTGAGGCATATTTAAATGCCTCCCCAGCCACCCACTGCAGTGGACCAGGTTGGGGAGGGAAGTGAAGGCATGTAAACATGCCTTATAGCTTTCCCTTCCCTCCCCAAGCTACCCTGCCATGGTGGGGCAACTTAAGAAGGGACAGAGAGAAGTCATGTTTAAATGCCTTCCCCCTCTCTCTCCCCCAGCTGCCGGAGGGCCGGAGGAAGGCATTTAAATCTAACATCTGGCTGGTACAGGGGAGTGAAACTAACAAGTTCTCAGTTTCACTCCCCTCTGCTGGTCAACTGTTAGCTTTAAAAGCCTTCCCCTCCCAGCCAGCGGCTGGGGGAGGGAAAGGAAGTCAGCAATATCAAAAAGCCAGAGGAAAAGCTGAAGAAATTCAGTAAACTCTATTCAGTAGCCTACGCATCGGCCTTCACCAGCCATGACAGGCACAGGTCAAGGGGGCAAGTGGTGGATTTCACATCATCCAGGATCCTGTCGACCTCATCCTAGGATAGCCGACTGAAACGGTTCAGTATAGGACCCAAAGACAGCCCAGGGGTCTCCAGTTTGCTTACTATCAATCGTGGCTGGCAAGTTTTGGCAGAGCAACAAGATTTTATCTGCAAAATAGTTCCCAAAAACTTCACAGCTAATAGCTGATCTACTATGTTTTTGGTTACCCTGTGAGAGGGAAGTTAGTGCTCTAATTATTCTAAACAATTGAGCTGGGTGTGAGCTTGCAGATGCAATGGAAGATGCATAGAATTCCTTCTTTGCAGCTTTTGCTGTCATCTCATAGGCTTTAATAAATGACCTATAAGATGTTCTTGCTGCTCCATCATGAGTACGCCACCACACACGCTCTAGCTATCTTAGCTCCTGTTTCGTCTTCCATAGCTCCATGGTATACCAAAGGGCCTAGTTTGGAGTGGGAGCGAAGAGGGTGTCGGGGAGCAATTTCATTGATGGCTTCAGAAGGTTGGCACTGCTAATCCTCTACTAGCTCATCCAATGAATCACCAGGGGGCATCGGATCCTGCAGAGCATTCTGGAAACCAATTGGATCCATTAATCTCCACAGTTGAGCATAAATCAGCTGGCTACCTAAACAAAGAAGAGTTGGAATACCCAGTTGAGCCTTCAAGGCGAAGTGATCTGACCAGGGCACTGCCTCAATGGCATCCAGATCCATGTTTATCCCCATGCCAAAAATCAAGCCCAACGTGGACTTGCTTGATGCGTGGGAGCCAATACAAACTGGGAAAGTCCCAATGCCGCCATGGAAAATACTAGGTCCATCACCTGTGAAGAGGAGATGTCATGAGTATGGATGTTAAGGTCCCCCAGAACTAAAAGTCTGGGAAACTCTAAAAACCAGCCCAACGCCATCTCCAGCAGGCCTGGCAGGGTATCTGCTGGTGTGTTAGGCAGTCGGTGCCCCAGCCAGATGGCCAAACTCTCTTCTGCATCCCACGCCAGACCTACGCGATCAATAACACTGATTTTGGGTGCGGGAAGTTGCCTGAAGGAGAAAGCCTCTTGGATAAGTATTGCCGCCACTCCACCCTTTAGTCCAGAACTTATGGAGGACCGAGAACCCTGGAGAGGCCAGTTGTTTCAAGGTGACTGTCTCAACCTCCTGCACCAATGTCTCGGTCATGCAAGCCAGGTCCACTTTTTGTGCTGCAAGATAGTCTTGCAGGATCATAGTCTTATTGTTCATGGATCTGGCACTGCACAGCATCAGTGTTGGAGAAGAGTACATCTTCCTATCCCCACTACCAGTATGTCTCAGGATTGGGCTAAGGTTGGAAGGAACCTGAGCATAACCATATCTCAGTCTCCTTCCAGTATAATACCTAGCTCCACCACCATACTTCCCACATCCCTCGATTACTGGGATCTCCAACTCTATCATGGCCTCCCCTTGCGATGATGATGCAGGATGATATTTGCAGAGACCTAGCAGAAAGCTCTTGAGCTGGATGTGATGGTAAAGAAGTGGGAGGGAGAGGATAGGGATACTTTGCCTGATCCTATTGTCCATGTGCTGAAGTGGGAAGTAGAGGTCAGTCTGGTAGAGAAACTGAACCTGTTGTATGGCTCCAAACCCAATCGTCATATACCTAAATTCTCCCTGTTTTGGAGGAGTCCTGTGTTGGAGTCAGATCAAAGTCTGCTAATCTTGAGCTTCAAAGAAAGTTATTACTCTTACTAGTATTTGTTTGGGGGCAAAAGCTAACTGACAGGAGATAATCAAAACACAATAGTTAAGGTACAGGAGATGTACTTTGCCCATACAATTAAACTGGGAAGGAGTCTAATTTTCTCCCTTTGATGTGTAAGTCATTGTTTTAAAAAAAATCCCTTAAAGTATGCTGTAATATTTTTATTTTGTTGTTACAAACATTGACCATACTTTATGTAGGCAGAATCTCAAAAGATCTTAACTAGTCAGGATGCTGCCTTCAGGATGAACCTTCTTGCAAAGGTAGATTCATGTGGGTAGCCATGTTGGTCTGAAGCAGCAGAACAAAGTTTTGTTCAAGATATGAGCTTTCATGTACACACACACTTCTTCAGGTATCTCAAAAAGTGTGTGCGCACATAGAATCATAGAATGTTAGAGTTGGAAGGGACCTTGCAGGTCAATCTAGTCCAGCCCCCTGCACTCTGCAGGAGCATAGCCGAAAGATAGCCCTACATACCTACAACATACCTGAAAGATGGTCATCCAGCCTCCGCTTGAAAACGTCCAGCGAAGGAGCATCCACCACCTCCCGAGGCAGACTGTTCCACTGCTCAACCACTCTTACAGTTAGGAAGTTTCTCCTGATATTTAGCCGGTAACGACTCCCTTGTAATTTCCACCCACAAAAGTTTATATCTTGAAAAAAGCTTTGTTGGTCTTAAAGGTGCCACTGGACTCAAACGTTGTTCTGCTTCTTGCAAAGGGTATCTGAAAACCTCACTTCGCATATCAACCAGATTTAGCTGGCAATTTAGTTGCTTGTCAGACTGAGTCTGATCAAGGCTGCTTCTCCCTGGGCCTGTGGTGTGTGTGGGGAGGGTGTCTTTTCATGGCCTTTCCCTATGGTTTGTGGTGTCTTAAGAGGGGTCCAGAGATAACATGCCCCCCTCACCATCTCAGGGAGCTCGTTTGACAAGGTGGGAACCACTACTGAAAGGACCAGGGTCTAGCAGATGCCAGGCATGGAACTACCAGATGATGTCAAATGAAGTTGTAATTTTTTTTTGCTGGGCGTATCCCAGTCCTGGAGAACTGCACTAGTGTAAAACAGTCCAAGAAAGATGAAAAAAGAGGAACAGACAAATGATTATTCATGCCCACATGATATTTTATTGTTAAGGATAATCATCTTCCATTTGATTGGTAATATGGACAACAGATGCTATAATATGAAAGTGTTTCTTTAACAATTTCACTTTTGTTGTACTTTTTTATTTGCTAGATTGCAAGCAGTCAATGAGGGAAGAGGAGGGAACTGTGACAATGAACAGAAGAGGAGCAATCAAACAGGCCAAAATCCACTACATCAAAAACCATGAATTTATTGCTACCTTCTTTGGGCAGCCTACATTTTGTTCTGTGTGTAAAGACTTTGTCTGGTGAGGACAACTACTGTCATGGAGTCTTTATAAAAACATGTAACTGTAACGTAGTTATGAATCTGTGAAATCTTTTTAGCAGTCTAGATGTCAGGGAAGGGTGTTAGAAAACATATCAGTAATTATGCCTTTTTATGTAGCAGTTTGGATAGGAGCAAGGTACAGCATATTCTGCTTTATGTGATACTCTGGAGCATCCTTTCTCAGTATGTGGTCCTGATAACAATCACAGCACAAACACATTGCAGCTGCAGATCCTGTTCATGGATTCCCCAGGTTGCATCTGATTTCAAGTCTTTAAAATAACTTGATAGAGGATATTTATAGCTCCCTGTAAGGGAGGGGGGCATTTTTAGATACATTAGATAAAGGCAATTTGGGTAAAGTTGAAAATAAGATCTTTCATCAAGGCCATCAATCTGTTAGTGCAGATACTGCAGAATTGATTTTATATGTTTCCAAATTCCAGCTACAGTCAAGAGACATGTAATATTTTGCATCAACAAAAGCAAATCCAACCAAAAACTTTATTGGGCATTTATTACAAATTACATAACCTGATTGCACAACATCAAGAAATAACATGAACGATCGTTAAACTTTAAAGAAGGAAGAAAAAGGAAATGATCCAAAGTTATTAACAATCAAATCCTGGAGCTCATGGCAGCTAGGAAATACCTACACACTTGGATAGTGATGCATCAACAAAAGCTTACAAGCAGTTTTCAGGAAAGAACTTAGACTAGATTTCCCATTGTTCGGTTACAAAGCCATGAATGACTGTGGTCAGATCCTGTCTCAGGAAAGAGCATAGTTGAGTAACTGAATCTAAGTAATAAAAAGTTCTGCAGCTTATAACTCCAGATGCAGGAGCACTGAGGCTGCTGATATTAATTCTCTAGATGCAGGATCCATCATCAGCTTCATTTATTATCTGGAACCAGCTGCAGTTTGTTCTTCATGCTTTGGTCTCCATGCTTTGAGATTACTGCTCTTGTTTGACTTGTATCTTATGATGCATCATGAAAAGTATACAGAATTTTCCTGTATTCCACTCTACTCCTGCAGTGCATTCCAGATCCTAGAAATATCATTCATGGAGTCATGGGACCATGCGGAAGAATAGCTGTGTGGTTTGGGTTAGTGTAGTGGGAAAGGGTGCATAACCACCCTCTTCCTATCTTGTATTGGTGCAGTACACCTGACAGAAGAAAGAAAAGACGGTGATTGACTCTTTTGCTCTCCTCACTGCAGCCCTCTCCCAATCTACACAATTGTTGTCCCCTCCCTATCTGCACAACTTTTCCTCCATGCAAACCCCATTACCTTAGGAATGATCTTTCCATATCAGAAGGACTGCAGGAGTGGAAAGAAACATTGGAAAAATCAATGTTCTGTAGGTGCCCATTGATGTCAACCAAAATGGTTAGAGCTGTTTTACTGGTGGAAGAAAGATATAGATGTTGTTTTAGAAATGCATTATAAATAAGATCCTTGGCTGATTGATTGGTATCTTTTGGAATTCTGAAGATCTTGTTTTATGTTCTGTTTGTGACCTTTCCCCACTTACCTGTCTTACAGGGGGCTCAACAAGCAGGGATACAAATGTAGACGTAAGTTGATTTTATCACCTTTTGTTTTCAGATGGTAATAATCTATGAGCAACTTTAGCATATGAGGTCCATTGTTTTGTCATTAAAACAGCAAATAATAAGAGTTTACAGGATAAGTGATAGCTGTCATTTTCTACGCTAAGAGTTTATTAATCTGTTGCACTGAAACAGCAGTCTTATGGCACTTAAAATGAACATATATTGTGATATGTACCCCAGTTGAAGGTTAAACTAATTATAGTAAAAGGTTTTAAAGCACTCATATCTTTGAAATAAGCAAAAACAATACAAATATTTAATTAAAATGAGGGGAAAATGGTATTTGAAACTGCAATATTCACTTAAAAGTGGGATTTTTTTTCAATTTTTTGATAACAAAACGTATTAGACTTCTTCTGCCCTTCCAAAAAACCCCAAAAACCTTAAGTGTTGTATTGTTGTTTGTTGTTTATGCAGAATGCAATGCTGCTATTCACAAAAAATGCATTGATAAAATTATTGGAAGGTGTACTGGTACTGCAGCAAACAGCAGAGATACAATGGTAAGTTTTATATATTGGTTATATGTTTATATGAAGTTCTATATATTTGTATGGCATCCAATCTAGTTGAGAATGAGTGCGTTCGAGTAGGATCTGGGAGACCCCTGTTCAAATTCCCATTTTGTCATTAAGCTTGCTGGGTGACTTTAGGCCAGTCATAAACTTTTAGACTAATCTAATTTATAAAATTGTTCTAAGAACACAATGGAGGAGGGGAGACCAACCTCCCTGTGTTCCTAGGAGGAAGGGCAGGATAAAAATGTGCTTAATAAAACCAAATTATAATAATATAATAAATAAAACCAAATATACATATATATATAATAATATTGTTTCTAAGAATCCAGGTATTTTGGATCATCTTTATTTCTTGTGGATGTTGTATGAAAGGACCAAGGGGCAAGAAAACGGAGATCGGTAGCATGTTCCAGGAGTTTTGGTTTCCTTGTCAGAATCTAAATGCTGGTTGAGGGATCAAACATCTTTTGTCAAACAACTTGTAAACAGCTTTCTAAGTTCAGAGAGAGTTGTATAAAAGCCCCCCAAAAGCTGGTTTTGTTTTTTAAGGCTCTTTGGAGTGACAGGCTTCCTGAGCTATTGGCATGCAAAATACAGCTCAGGAAGCTGCAGAGCTTTGAGAGCAAATAAACTCTCAGCAGACTGTGACAGCAGCCATGAAATTAAAAGACGCCTGCTCCTTGGGAGGAAAGCGATGACGAATCTAAACAGCATGATAAAAAGTAGAGACATCACCCTGCCAACAAAAGTCCGCATGGTCAAAGCAATGGTATTCCCAGTAGTCATGTATGGCTGCGAGAGTTGGACTATAAGGAAGGCCGAGCACCAAAGAATAGATTCTTTTGAACTATGGTGCTGGAGAAGACTCTTGAGAGTCCCTTGGACCGCAAGAAGATCAAATCAGTCAATCCTAAAAGAAATCAACCCTGACTGTTCCCTGGAAGGCCAGATAATGAAACTGAAGCTCAAATACTTTGGCCACCAAATGAGAAGGGAGCACTCACTGGAGAAGACCCTGATGCTGGGAAAGATTGAAGGTCAAAGAAGACGGGGACGGCAAAGGATGAGATGGTTAGACAGTGTCATAGATGCAACGAACATGAAATTGAGCAAACTTCAGAGGATGGCGGAAGACAGGAGGGCCTAGCGTGATCTGGTCCATGGGGTCGCGAAGAGTCGGACTCGACTGTGCGACTGAACAACAACAACAAAAACCCTATGCAATCCGGGTAAGTTCCCCCATCCTGACAGAGCTAAATGATGCACTATAGATGTGCTTTCTGGCCTGCCTACATTTACATGTGGTAGGACAAGGTTTAGTAAGAATCTCAGGGATAGCAGAGCTTTTTTGTTCCAAAGGCTGAGGAGCTACACATCACATAAGAAGAACCTAAAGGATCAGGGGAAGGAGATAAGATGGGCACCGGCTGTCTAACAGGCTGTTTTCAACAGTAGTTGAGTGATTCTTGTTTTTTAAGGCTCCATATAGTGAACAACATTCCTTCCCAATTGATCCTTAAAACATTATACATTGCTTCTGACCACTGATGCTCTAGTTTGATTGTAGCCATAGTCGATTAAAAAAATTATTGATCTCTATTTGTTGGAATCTTGTTGTTACCTGGTTTACTCTGAGATGTAGTTTTAAAATAAAATTGCGACCCACCTTTCAAGGAGAAAAGCAGGCTAAAAATGACGCAAATAGACTAAGGTTTGCACAATTACTTGAACAAAGAAGAAGAAAATAACTTAAAACTTAACTATGGAAACTTCTTACCTGTAGTTGCTCTCTGAACTTTGCATTTCTTTTAAAAGACTTTCTCATAGAATAGATTTAGTTTTATTTATTATTTATTTCATTGGATTTCTTAACCACCCTTCCCCACCTACGCAGGGCTCCGGGCGGTTTACAAGAAGATAATTCCATACAATTATAAAACCAATTAAAACCATAAACATATAATATTAAACAAACAACATACATTTTAAACATTCCAATAACAGATGGCCTGTCTAGCATTCACATTTTTTGGAGGGGGGAGGGTACCAGGCAGATGTAGGAAACCATTGCTGGCTTCAACCAAAAGCCTGGTGAAACATCTCTGCCTTACATGCCCTGCGAAACTTTAATAGATCAGACAGGGCACAGATGTCATTCAGCAGAGAGTTCCACCAGGCTGGGGCCAAGGCTGAGAAGGCCCTGGTATCAGGTCCAACTGACCTTGGGGTTCGCTTCAGTAGATAAATTTGCAGCTCGCCAGCAGAAAGGAAACTCTCAGCACGCAGCAAAATGTAAAAAAACCTTGTTTCATTTAATTGAGTTAAAACATTCTAACACTCAGGATGTATGCACTGCCAAAATCATCCAGAGTATGAGCAATCGACAATAAAACATTAAAGTACCAGGATAGCTAACAATTCTTAAAAAGAAGGTTGCAGCTTCTTACAGATTAAGTCTTTATAACAAGCTCTGTAGCAACTCACAATAAAACGGGAGTCGATTCCATCTTTTGAAGCAGGTTATCCTTCAGTGCACGCAATACGAAGCAGGTTATCCTTCAGTGCCAGAAATACTCTGGTCCCTCCTGAGTAGTTGACAGGAATGCTATCCCGACCAGTGTTCTCTCTAAGCTGAGTTAGTGTGAGCTAGCTCACAGGTTTTTAGCCTACGGCTCACAGATTTTTGTCTTAGCTCAGGAAGGATGGCTCTGGAGCAAACTAACTTATACAGTAGCAGAACTGCTTGCTCACAGTTTTAATGCCAGTAGCTCACAACATAGAATTTTTGCTCATAAGACTCCACAGCTTAGAGGGACCATTGATCCTGACACACACACCCCCCAAGGGAAAGAAACACCAAGGAAAAACTTCTTCTGGACTGCTGCCACTCCCTTCAGATTACAGAACCTTGCAGCTGCTGGTAGTTATCACAACAAAGCTATATCCCCCTCCTTGCCAGGTAAGGTCCTGCCAAACTTATGACCAGTGTTTCCTCCAAGCTGAGTTAGTGTGAGCTGGCTCACAGTTTTTTAGCATCCAGCTCACACATTTTTGTCTCAGCTCAGGAAGGAGGGCTCCAGAGCAAACTAATTTATGCAGTAGCCAAATTGCTCGCTCACAACTTTAATGCTAATCGCTCACAAGGTAGAATCTTTGCTCACAAGACTCCACGGCTTAGAGGGAACGTTGCTTATGACCCTCTCCCAATCGTCAGGGCTTATCACATTATAGGCTTGTTCAGCCCTTATCCCTTACACCTGGCCCTGGTTGAGGCCAGACAGATATCTTTGGGCCCGGGAAGGGGTGGGGGAGTTAGGTGATTCAAGGTTTTTGTTTTTCTTGCTGCAAGCCTATAGGCTAGATAGTCAACTGAAGAAAGGATAGGTTTCAGATCTTCCCTTTATAAATGCATTTTAGTTCTTTTGAGTCTATGCCTTTCATCACATGAACAACTTTAATTTTGCAATGGCAAACATGAGAGAGCGAGGAAATTCCAGATATTTGTGTTACTCTACTGTAATGTCAATATACCTTCAGTTTCAGAAGGAGCGCTTCCACATCGATATGCCTCACAGATTCAAAGTCTACAACTACATGAGTCCAACATTTTGTGATCACTGTGGTAGTCTTCTCTGGGGACTGGTTAAACAAGGATTAAAGTGTGAAGGTAGGGTCTCCTTCTTTTGACCAATGTAGCCCTGGCTCTTTATCCAGGTGAAGGCATGACTTCCACATTGTGTATTTGTATGTCAGAGGGAGGGGTGTTGTGTTTAACTCTTTCACACACACACTTCTTGGTTTAAGAAGTGTGCCTTGCACTCTCAGCTGTGTTCAGAGAAATGGACTTCCGCACCTAGTGCTAGGCTTCCGCACCTAGTGCTGTTCTGGCTTTTTACTGAAAGGGCATGGGGTTTTCCCTTCTCTTTTTACTATTGAGGGTTAAGAAGTAAGCTTGTATTTGAGTTCAGTTAAATGTCTCATAAAGCAAATCACATGCATTTGAACACTTTGTTATTGTTGACTAGAATAGATTAATCGGTTATGATTATAATTTTATTTCTTTAGAATGTGGAATGAATGTGCACCACAAATGTCAAAAGAAAGTGGCAAATCTGTGTGGTATCAATCAGAAACTGTTGGCAGAAGCTTTAAACCAAGTTAGTCAGGTATGTTTTATTAGCAGTCTTCTTTCAGGAGTATTTTAGAATGCCACCTGTGGGTGAATACAGATGACCATTACTGTGTGGTAACTTAAATTGATAAGGAATTGTAAGCCGGTCACATATATTGACCTACTAAACTGTTGGGGGGGGGTTGAACCTTACCTTTCCCTTACTTCCCTGGATCGTAGATGAAGCAGAGAATTGTGGGAGGATTTTCTTTATCATATGGCAAGCTAGTGTTCACAACCGGCTTATTAAATGGACATGTGCATACTGTAATAAGTCACCTCACCACTTTGTAACCTATCACTGGTGTTCACTCTGCTCACAGATATATCTGTGTACAGACCTAGAGAGGGAACAGAAATGAGCATGCTGAGTTCTCCCTTCTATGTTCATTCACCCAAATGTAGATATGGCACCTACACAGATACAAGTCATATGCACACTGGTTCTGAGTGGTGGGTTGTGCACATATTTGAGTCATTTCACACAGGAGGGGCAGAAATTGCACATTATTCCGGTTTCCTCTCTGTATGTGTTGGTCTTATACATTGACATGTCATCTGCTAGGATTAGATTTCACTAAATTCATTAGTAATATTCTTACATATTTTACGGAATCTAATTTGCTTATTCACACTAACTGGAAATGGACATAGTAATAAATTGCAGTACAGTGGCATTTGACTTGAAAGAAAAAGGTAAGACCCTTTTCAGGATTATTAGATATATATTTATTGACATATAAAACCAGAAATAAGGTGCATACTGAAGTAGGTTACCACTTTCGGTGTAATTTGAATGGATTTTCAAAAGCAGGAGTATCTCGATTACCATGAGCCATGAAAGACAGGGCATGAACAGAAATAGTAATAAGGTTCAATCCAGGGTTTTTCCTTTCCTCTCAGAAGGAGGGACAACGTTTACTGATTACTCCCTTCCACATAGATCCATACTTTGCCCCCACAATATTCGATAAAAATCACAATTCCTTGTGCTTACGGAAAATGACTTTGGGGTCTAGCACAATCATTCTTAGAAAAGAAGTTTTATTAAAATTAAAGAAGCAGCAACTCATTTCTAGTCATATTGGTTGAGGAGAAACACTGAAAAAGTACAGATGGTATGGAAGAAGCTTTCATTGTCAGAGGTGATGGCTTCAGACTCTTTTTGGGGGGTGAGTATTTTGTTTGTTTGCGTGTGTGTGTGTGCGCGCGCGCGCGCGCAGGCCTGGAAGTCATGGTTGACTTCTGGTGACCCCTAATGGGGCCTGGATGTTTCAGAGAGATGGCTTGCTATTGCCTGCCTCTGCGCCCCAGCCCTGGTATTCCTTGGAGGTCTCCCTTCCAAGTACTTGCCGGGGTCAGCCCTGCTTACCTTCTGAGATCTGATGAGATCAGGCTTGCCTGGAATATCCAGGTCAGGGCTGCTTCAAGCTCTTCACAAACCAGAGTTCATATACAGTAGCTTGTTAACAAAGAATATGTAATGTGACAAGCATATCTATAAACCTCACATGCAGTGTTTAAAGTCACTTCACTTGTCATTTGTGCACATGGAGATAATTTCAGTAAAGAAAAACAAGCTTAATATGTGTATGTGTGCCACAAATGCCTTTCACACCAAAAGTTCTTGGGAGCTGGCCTGTGTGTGTGTGTGACTGTGTGTGTCTGTGTGTGTAATATATAAAATATCTTTACATGTTGTACAAAATATCCTGTGCAGTTCTTGTAATAAAATGACATTATAACAAATACAGTAATGTAATAATAATTAAAACTTGTTTTTCAACTGAATTCTAGATTGATATTATGTATATGTCATTTCTGTTCAGAAATCTTCCAGGAAATCTGAATCTGGGTCTGTAGACAGTGTGGGTATTTACCAGGATTTTGATAAGAAACCAAGAGCTCTAGGTGGAGATACAACAGGTGAGAGATAAATCTTACTACATTTTCTGTTGTGAATAGTTTTATCTATTAACACAAACATGCTAGTTTACCACTACAGTATAAACAATATTTGTGACTTTTGTAACAAAAAAAGCAACTCAAATTATACACAACAGTTTCTGCAGTTAGTGACCAACTCAGTATTACCCCCACCCCCCCCTTACTCCTTTTCTGTGTTCCTATCATATAATTTGGTGTCATGACACTAGCAAAGTATTATATGCAGTCATACTTATAGATTCAGTGTGCCTCACTGAGATTTAGTCCAAACACGTCTTCATCCATGGAATGAAGGTAGTTTCTTCATGCCTTAGGATCTTCTTCCTCCTTTGAACATCACATCTCCACACTGTTGTTATCCTTGGGAAGCCTGCCCCACAGTATGAAACTTGTAAGTTATACACAAAAAATGTCAAAACCTGAATTAATACAAGTATTTTTTTCAGAACCCAGTGATGACCACTGTTAGTTTAAGGTTGCTTTTTAATGACAATTTAAAATTTCCCCATCATATTTATAACTTCATGTACATGTATGCAAACTCATGCATTCACACAGTGGTTCACTGCATTTTTGGTTATATCTTGGTACTTAAAGTACTAAATTAAGTAACAGAATAGTGGGGCAGACCTTCTATTCCTACTTAAAAACTATCATTTTGCTTCTGCAGATAATAATGAATATGATAAGCTCTGGGAGGGAAGATCATTGTCACAACCATCCAGTAGGAGGAAATTCAACATAGATAGTTTTATTTTCCACAAAGTTCTTGGGAAAGGAAGCTTCGGAAAGGTAGGTATCTTTCAGGGTTTAGTTTTTTGTGTTAGATAATCTAATTGTTTTAATAGAAGAAAGGAAAAACAATTCAAGTAATTCTTCAAGACACTACAAGCTAAAGAAAAGGTCTGATTGAGGGCAGAGTTGAGTAATGGTAGCAACAGCCAAGGACTCCATAGGAGAAAGATACCCTTCCTGGCAGTGACAATAAAGTTCCCTCTGCACAAAGGGAAGGAGGCATCTCTCCCTCTACCTAGTGTTTATAGCCAGTTTGCCTCCATGGAGAAGTGGAATAAATAAAACAGGTCCATACAGAGAGAGGAAGTATCCTTCCCCTAGAGTTGTGTCTCTTCACAGAAAATTAAATTTAGTGGAAACATAGATAATAAATATACATAATTCACTTATCATCTGTTGCTTATACAGGGCGTTTTGATATGCTTGATGACTTGAGGTAACACCACCATTCCAGAAGTCTAGTGTGTTGAAGGGATGTAAGCCAGTAACTACCATTCACATACATTATAAACTTTTTTTCTTACAGTCAAAACTATTAACTTTACAGAAGGCCCAGAGAAGAAGTATTTATCACCTAGGAAGTCCCTAATTCAGCTTTCGTTGTGTGTTACAGGTACTGCTTGCTGAACTGAAAGGAAAGAATGAATTTTTTGCTGTAAAAGCTTTGAAGAAGGACGTGGTACTTATTGATGATGATGTGGAATGCACCATGGTAGAAAAGCGAGTCTTAGCACTTGCATGGGAAAATCCATTTCTTACCCATCTCTACTGTACTTTTCAGACTAAGGTATAATGTAGTCAATTATACTTTTGCTGTAACTGGTAGAGTGAAACAGATTGATAACTTATTTCAGGACAAGCAAGATTGCTTCAATGCTCCAGAGGTATTCATTTGCAGTTCTGCCTTATTTTGGCAACAAAATCAGCAGTAGGTAGCAGAAATAATCCATCTGACTACTGTAAGGTATTCTGTATAGTGTAGTAAAAGAACATCAAATCTCCAGTCAAGAAAGCCAGTATCCTGATACAAAGTGTATGATTAAAAATGGGAATGTAGAGGCCAAGTGTATTTTTAAGAGCTTAGCATATGAGGAATGATGCACATCTGCATGTTCTGTGGAAAAATTAACAAATGTTTCATATTAAAAAACTATCATTATGTTGTGGCTGGTTGTTGATTTGAATAGGAACTTCATTCAGCATCTGCTTAGAAAGAGTAAGTAAGTAGTTCGAGGAGATTATAATTCAAAATGATTAAAGACAGAACTGTACTAAAGGTATTTGTGTTCTGAGGTGATGCTTCATCTGAGCTTCACATCAGCATCCCAATGAAAAGAAACAATATGAAAATAAAACTCATACCGAAAAAATAAACCTAGCACTGCTCACATAGCAAATATCTATCTATAGCTCTTTATTCAAATCCCCTGGAGATACAGCACAGGTCTTGAACTACTGCCTGGGTGCTGTGTGAAGTGGCTAAGAGTGATAGAAACTGAATCCACACAAGATGAAAGTAATGCAAGTTGGGAAGGCTGAGGCCTTCAAGGACATTATACTTCCTGCTTTTGATGGGGTTCTGCTGACCCTTGCTGACTCTGTTAAGAGCCTAGGGAATATGCTGGATCCCGCATTACTGCTGGAGAAGCATGTTAATGCAACTGCAAAAAAAGAGAGGCTTTTCTTCCAAACTCATCAAGCGTGGAAGATGGGCCCATCTTGATTCAGCTGTTGTAGCTATCCATGCCATATTAACATTGAGATTAAACTACAGTAATGCACTGTACATGGCTTTGCCCTAGAGACTGCATTTGATACAGAATGCTGCAGCATTATTGTCAGGAGGTAGGTGGTACATGCACACTACACCCATTCTGCTGTCATGCCACTGGCTGCCCATCAGCTACCATGTTCAATTCAAGGTACTAACTAACACATATAAAGGCCCTGCAGGCCCTTGTACCCTCATATCTGCAGGACCACATCTCCTCCGATGTTCCACCATAACAGCTTCACTTATCTGTTCAGGGCCATCTGTGGGTGCCTTCCTGCAAATGGGCAAGATCAGTGACTGCCTGTAGATGTGCTTTTGCTGTTGTGGCCCCCACATTGTGGAATGGCCTATATGAGGAGGTCAAGAACGACACTTCTGTAGCTATGTAAACTGTGTAGAATGGATTTCAGGAGGGCTTCTTTGTTCAGGAAGGCACTTTATAAAGGGATAGGATCTGAGAACTTTACCACTGTGTTTAGGACATATCTGTTTGCCTCACGTATTAGCCTGTTGGCACTGTATTTTTCTCTACTGATTTTTGCCTTATATTTTCACTCTGTATCATGTCTAATATGCTGCGCTTACTCAGAGCTCTGTAATCCTAACTCCTTGTACATTGCTTATTAGATGTCCCTTCATATTGATTGTATCGGTCTATATTGTGTCATCTGCTTTGAATCTTAGTGAGATAGGCAGACTATAAATACAGTAAATAAATATATGGGGACTTTCTCTTACTGCTTGTGACATTTTCTAGCCCAAGGCTGCCACTAATACATGTGACTTGTGAAGCAGAATGCATGCCTCCTGTGGATATAGTTACATCAGTGGGTTAATGTTCTGTTTTCTTCTGTTTGTGAATAGGAACATCTGTTCTTTGTTATGGAATTCCTCAATGGTGGAGATCTGATGTTCCATATACAGGACAAAGGCCGTTTTGATCTCTTCAGAGCTACGTAAGTTGGGGGGGGTTAATAAGGAAGGTTTGCCCAGATCTTTGATTTGTTTTGCTGTTACACAGCTACACCTGTGTAACACTGTAAAACATAGGCAGTAGCAATCCTACAGTTGCATAGGTATGGGATACTGTTCTCTTGTTTCATTTTGCTGAGGGCTTGAAGGCAAAAAATTAAAGTGTCTTAGAAACATTGCAAGCAATACAGAGGAAAGAAAAATAATTTTCTTACCTTTTTTGATTAAAGTTTTTCACAGTAACATCAAGACATTTAGACTTGCCTGAGTGAACATTCTCATTTTTCTATCTAATAGTATCACACTGTGTATAGCAGAGAAATAGTGTTCTCATAAATGCAGTGATAAAATATGTGCTTGCATACTGGAAAGAGCAAACTCGCTTATTAAATAAAATTAAGTGTTGGCTCATACATGAATTATTCTTTTGATTCCCAACATTTTCCTATAAAATACATCCACTTCACATTGTCTGTATTAAGACTCCTAAAGCAAAACACAAGTCAAAATAGTATGCTTACTTCCCTGTTTGTTTTTTGAAGGTGTAGTGGCAGAGGAGAGAGGTCAAAGAAAAGAAATGGGAAAACCCCTTTTTAAGTATCATATGTTTCTGCAAAAAGACTATTTCAAGTGCTGGCGTCTCTGCTTTTATGGGGAAATGTCAAATCAGACTGGAGATAGAGGAAGCAATGAATCTGTAGAGAGAAGATAATATATGATGGGAAATTAAGACTGTGTGAGAACTAAACAGAAATGAACATGGTAGTGGATAGATCCTGCTTCCCATGAGTTTGGACGGGCTCTCTGCAACATGTAATGATTTAAGGGGAAACAAAGATTTTTAATTGTTTCTGAAAAAAAGAAGAGCGGCTAGGTCATCAGTGGGCTTCATGTCTAAACAGAGCGTACATCATTATTTCAAAATGCTTTTGCTCTGTTTCAGGTTTTATGGAGTGGAATACACATTTCTTAAAAGTGTGCAGCTCAAAGCAGAGCTTTCATAATTTGTTTGATTTATATGGATTGAACCAGGAGAAGAACAAAGGACTTAATTTGCAATTAGATTGGATTTGCTGTTCTAAAGCGGAATATGAGCAGCATTCTTAGGTCTCTTCTTTTGCCAATATAAATTCTCTGAATATAATACAGCATAAGTAAGAGTGTTTTTGGCACATATTTCCCCCCAGAAAAGTAGTATCTGAAGTAGTTTGACAGACAGTGGAGAACCGATCCATGTAAAATCCCCAACTGTAAGTGATACATACAGTATAACAAAAAGGGCTAATCTACCAATTCACAAAAGGATAATTTAGGCTTTAAAAATCTAGTTAAATAAAGGAAACATTTCTGCTTAAAGTTTCAAATTCTGGCAAATACATAAAGGAATGATTACTTTAATATTTTTTAAAAAACAGTCATTTTTTAGGTAAGCACACCAGAATGCAGTTTTCATTCTGTTTATGTAGAAAAGCTCAATTTGGAATAGAGCCCATATGTGAAGGAGGGCCTGTAAACACTGTAAATTGGCTCCACTGATGTCCTTATACAGTGATCATGGATCTTTCCTGCATTTCTGTCCCCCAGCAGTCCTTTTCTATCCTGTGTTCCACATGGACATACAAATCATAAGGTTCTCCAGATGAAATTACCCTTTTCCATCAGCATGTTTACTTAGAAGTAGCTCCCACACCCAGTAAATATGTGCAGGATTGCAGCCTTGAACTCCCAAGCCCACTTCCCATGTGGATGGGACACAGATTATCCAGCAATCGGTATAGTGAATTTCTGACTAGTTATAGTAAAACTGAGCCAGAGAAGAATCTCCACACTCATCTTCCACCTGAGCCGAATTTGATGTCAAGTGAGTGGGAGGCAGTCAAGGGCAGGGAAAATTCTTACAGCATCCTGACATTTTGTTCTGCCCTCCTTCTCTTCTCCCTCCCCAGTGGCTGGGGTGGATGACAGTGCATGAGCAGAACTGTTTCTGCTGAAGGAGTCATGATATTCTCAGGGCTAAAGGAGCAAGAATGAATGGAAGGGATTTTAATCCTGTTTGTAACAGATCAGAAACATTGGAGAATCGTGGGCTAGTTGGGGTTGGGGGTACCACTTGCATGTTGCTCAGGGTGCCAGACAGGCTTGCATGCCTTTAATAGTTACAGCAGAAATGAGTGTTATAGAAGTAACGGAAAAAAAGCACAAATATCCTGCCATTCATAGGCTTAGTACAAATTAGGCCTTTGTTATTATTTTTAAGTGCTTTTGCCCTCTTTCAGGTTTTATGGAGCTGAAATACTGTGTGGTTTACAGTTTCTTCACAGCAAAGGCATTATTTATAGGTGAGTGCTGATTGATCTTGGTAAGAGTCTTGTAAAATATTGCAACAGGTATGTCTCAATGATGAATTAGTGGATTCTGCGATTAACCTACAAGTAGAGTGTTTTACAAGGAACTGTTCCCTATTAAAATTTTGAGTTTATTCCAAAGGTGTTGAAAAGAGGCAATTCAAACAAGCACTTGAGACCAAATCTATAATTGTTTTCTCATGTTTTTCTCCTTGGCAACAAGGAGAATGAAATGTTATTTACATTACACAGAAGAATCATTGTTTCACACTAGTAAAGGCTGGGTGTTCTGCACCAAGCCTGAGATGCTTTGTCTTCATTCCAATGGCAGGGAAGGTCAATAGTATTTGAGCCAGGATAGCCCTCTTGTTGAAAGTACTCTGACTAAAGTTCTTTGGGATCAGTAGCAAATTATGGAAAGTTAAAAAGAATCCAGCATGCAGTGGCTTTGGATATTGGGCCAAAGTTTGATCATCTTCTGCTCTGAGATAGCTGGTAGATTTTGAGATATGAAACTTTTGGTTTTTAATTTGGAATCTTAATAACTGCAGAATTAGCATTCCTTTTATGTAGACTTATTAATGTATCATTTTTCAAGGCTTTCTTCAGGTAGCTCGTGTTAACTGCTGATTTGGTGCCATGCAGCCACCTAAGCCTTTATCAAGGATTGTTGTTATTTTCTATTAAGCCACCTACTGAAACTGCAAATAAGAGATGTTTTTAAAAATGTTCTGCGTTTTTGATTCAGCAGTTCCATTTCAGTTATTTAGAAGGAATCATATTTTTTCCTTTAATCTACGAGTATTAATCCGATAGGGAAGGAAGCAGACCTTGTGAAATAGCAGATTATCGTATCTTGGCCATTGTAGCTGCTGTTGGAAGTCATCTTCCAGGAAAGAGAGAATTTCTTGATGTCCTTTGAAACACTGGCTCGAATATGTTATTGCTAGCCAACAGCAGATCTGTTGGCCTTTCAGGTTGCTGTGCACTTCTGAGTTCAAATGTCAAAAAATTAGGGCTGTTGCTTCTTTAAAGCATCTTCAGAGTTTTAATCATTTTAACTGACTTTGCATATGAATAAAAGCAGTTTAAGAAAAACACTTTGCTTTTAAATATAGGTATGTCTTTCTTCTAGCAGGTAACATTTTAAGAAAGAGATGGCAGTTGTCATCTTCTAAGATGACAGTTGTCATCCCTAGCTTTTATAAGTACCTGTATTAGAAATGTCATCAGTTAATAAAGACATGCTTTCTTTGGTCAGACTATCAGTTTAGTTTAACTGATTGATAAGTGTGCCAGACCCACAGAAAATGAAAAAAATTCAGATACGGAAATATCTTTTTCTCGCATGTGCTCTAATACATAGTATCCAATTCATAAATATTTCAAACCTCTTGGAAAACAACATGAGCACAACATTAAGAAGTTGCTTTGATCACACAGATTGTCTTGTTTGCTTCTGTCCTTGGTAGCTAGTTTTAGAAGCATACAACAACTTTGTTGGCAACTGACTAACTTTTCAGTTTTTATGGCAACTGCCTAAGGCTAAAATCCAAAGAATGTATGTGCTGGTGATAATTTTGCATACAGCTGGAGCTTTTCTTCCTGTTTTCTTTGCAACAGTTACTTCTGATGTCTGTCAGTTTAAATCAATAGTTACGTGTACAAGGCAATCAGCTATCATTACTAGTGTTTGAAATAGGCATGTGCATTTAGATATTTCCAATACAAAACAGTGCCAGAAATTCCCTGCTCAGTTTTGTTCTGGCTGATACCTTGAGGTTTTAAGCAACTGGGGCACACACAAAATACATGACTCTATCTTTGTGTTGAATACAGGCATAGGACTACACACCATGATCCATCAGTGAAAGTAGCTGATGATTGTGGGTCTTCTCCACTTTCCCCTGCCCTCAGCAGTACCTTCCAATCCCAGGCAAGTGATTTGTGTTACAAGACCCACCTGAAGTAATAGCCATGCAAGTCAGTGAGATACAGTGAGGAGGGGGAAGGATGTGAAATCTCTTCCCTCTCTCTCTACTACCATGTAGCTTCACATATGGAAAAGGCAGACTACCTAGCCATATGGGTATTTCTCCACATGGGTCCCACAACCCGAGCAATCACTTTTCCTGAGGTCAGAAGAGACGGGGAGGGGAGGGGATTTGTGATCCTTGCATGAGCAGATCACTGAATGCAACCCATAGTTAATAACATACCTTCCGAGTTAAAAGACCTTGCTTCCACTGCAAAAATTCCCTCTTCACCCAAAGTGAGTATTATAATAAGGCCTCTGTATTTTGGTTCAGCTTCAAATGCATTATTTTCTTTTTTCCACTATGTTTTATTCACCCCTACTCCTGTCATGATTGACTCTGCACAGTTTCATCTTTATTGAAAATTAATGAAAAGTGTCCATTTGTTTTTCTGCCAACTTCAGCCTCTTCTTCATTACTTAAAGTATCCCATCCCAACAGACAGCTTTAACATTGATGCAGTTACATCAGGAATGTGAACCATTTTGGTGCTAGTTTCTGGTTAAACAATATGGTAATTTTAAAAACTTTTTCACAGAGACCTCAAATTAGACAACGTGATGCTTGATAAAGAAGGTCACATCAAGATAGCTGATTTTGGGATGTGCAAAGAGAAAGTCTATGGAGAGAATAAGGCAACAACTTTCTGTGGTACCCCGGACTACATAGCTCCTGAAGTAAGGCATACACACATGTAGTAAACCAAGACATCAAGTACATGATTCTTTCACAACAATTTAAAAATGTAATAAATTAAATTAAAAGCTGTTCATTAACAATGGCTTTTTAAAAATTATTCCATAAACTGTATACAGTAAATATAAAGTATTCTGTATGCTTCTTTCAGCTAATAACCTTTCCTTAAATAATTCCAAAGGTACCAATGTTTGTCTGTTGCAGCAAAAATAAGCTGCAGTGTTGTAACACCTTAAAGACTAAATAAATTGTATGCCAACATAAGCTTTTGTGGACTAGAGGCCACTTCTTTTGTATATGCACAAGCTTTTTCATAAGGTTGATGTTAGTCTTTAAAGGGCCATTTGGCAAAACCTCTGTTTGTTTTTTACTTTCCTTTAAAGCTACTAAATTGGTAAAAACAGCTTAAGTAGAGTGGAGGAGATAAAAAAACCCAAAATAACAGAAGTAGTATCTATACCTTTATGAACCAAATATCCTCAGTGGCTGTTGCTAGGCAAACACAACAGTATTGCCAGCCTTCAAGCCTTGCTTTCTGTCAGTAAAAGGCAGGAGGACAGGGCCCTTTCCAGGGCTGAGGGAAGACTCATTGGGGCTAGGGCTACCAAATAACAAATGACTTGCCCAGGACTGACTGCTTGCTACTGTTCAACAGAGCCAGCACACAAAAGACAGTGTTTTGTGGTAATTAGAGTTTCAGACTAGGATCTGGAAGACCCAGGTTCTAATCACCACTCTGCCATTGAAGCTCACTGGGTGACCTTGGGCCAGTTACACATTCTCAGCCTAAAGTATTGCACAGGGTTGTTCTGAGGATAAAATGGAGCATAGGAGAACGATGTAAGATGGTTTAGGTCCCTATTGTGGAGGAAACAAGTAAATATATAAGAAATGTAGCTGAAGATATGGGAAAGATAAAAAGTAGGCTGGTTAATGGGTTGGAATAGGGAATGGTGAGAATATGGGGGTTACCAAGAAGAAGAAGAAGAGAGGAAGTAGTGTGGGGAAGGGATCTATGGACAAGTGAGGTGTCCCCTGCAAGTCCTTGCAGGTTGCCCACCAAGCAGCTGGGCCTAGCCCTGCAGCCAGCACTGCACAACTGAGCCATAGTTGTCCTAGGGAGAGGCTGCTAGGGGAGTGAAGGAAGGAAAGCTGAAGACAGAGGGCAGATAAAGGTAGTTTGGCTGATGGAGAGAAGGAAGAAGGAAAAGGGAAGAGGCTATGGGAGGTTTCATGGGTGGGAAGGACAAAATGGGGGGGAGGGGGAAATGAGATGCACCTTACCAGTCCTTGCGGGCCCCTTGCTTGTTGTTTATATTTTGAATATTCACCCACTGCTATATGAGTTGCAGAAAACCCTTTATTTTGGCAACAAAGACTGCCCCCATTAATAATGTAAAATGAATAGACCAATACGGAATCGAAGTAACTAATATGCAGTATTAATCTGTTAAATAATTTAATGTTATATTTCATATTATGTTAGAACTGTTTAGTTTTCTTTATTATGTTATCATATAAAAGACCATTATAATTCATCATAAATATCAAATATGAAATCTTTGACAACTGCTTTGAAATCATAAATCAGAGCATACTCAAGACTCCATCGTATTTATGTAACTAGAATATCAATTAATCAGTAAATAATATAGATGTTACTATAAGTGATGGAAGAGTCATGATCTGGAAGCTTCCAATTGCATTTTACAAGTCTTCTTACTTCTTATATTGGCAATAGATCCTGCAAGGGCTGAAGTATACATTTTCTGTGGACTGGTGGTCTTTTGGAGTCTTACTATATGAAATGCTGATTGGACAATCTCCTTTCCATGGTGATGATGAAGATGAGTTATTTGAGTCAATCCGAGTAGACACACCTCATTACCCACGTTGGATTACCAAGGAATCTAAGGATATACTAGAGAAGGTACACGCTGACTTAAGCTAATGCATGTTTTCAGTATAGGGAAATGGAAGGCTATATTAAGGAGAACGTGTGAATCGAGTAATCTGAAAGGGCCATCAAGACACTTGTATTTGTACAGATATTATCTCCCAGGGAAAGTGTGAAAGAGTTTTGTGAGATGGAACCAATGCAAACTAACTAAGGGATTGAATAGTTTTATCCTTATCGGTCTGTGTTTTATACAGTTTTGTGATGTTAATGTCTTCTTGGTGGGTGAGCCATGTTGTATGCATGCTTTCCTACAAGTGGTGTCTGCTGCTGCCAGGCTTGGATTCTCGGTTGCTGTTGACCTGGGCAAGTGGGAGCTAGCGAATTATTCCACAGGAAGAAGGCAGTATAGGAACCTGTTTCCTGCCGGAATTCCAAGACTAAGCAGCAAGAATGGTTACAGTCAACCTAACCGGTTGTCTTAGACCTGTAGGACTTATAGAACACATCAAGTCTCCTAGTATTATATCTTTCAATAGCTACTGAAGTTGCACTCTCTACCTTAAATGTTGTGATCTGCAGCTATAGTAACTGAATTAGGATGCATATGTTATGTTTTGTAGTTGTTTGAAAGGGACCCAATAAAGCGATTGGGAGTAACCGGAAACATCAGAGATCACTCTTTCTTCAAGACGATTAATTGGACATTGCTAGAGAAGAGGGAAGTGGATCCACCTTTCAAACCTAAAGTGGTATATAATTTCTGAATCCCTCTTATGCTCAGCAAAGTGAAGAACTGTAAAACCTTATGTCAGTTGCATTTAGGAACTTTGTTGCTGTTGCCCTGCACTCTCCTTAGGGTAGTACACACAGGATATCCCCCCCCCCCTTTCATTCTCACAGCCACATTGGGAAATAGGCTACAGCAAGAGTGACCAACTTTCACAAGGTGTCCGATAAGATTTAAACCCATGTGCTTAGTCCTCAGCAAACACTTTAGCCCAGTGGTGGCGAACCTATGGCACTCAGAGCCCTCTCTGTGGGCACACGTGCCATCACCCCAGCCAGGCCCAGACCATCATTAAAGTGTCAAATTCTCTGCCAAATAATTTTAAGTAAATGAAAGCATTTGGGATTGCTTTCCTTACTTTGTTTGGATCATCTTAAGTTAATGTATGAATTGTTTTTTCTAAAGTAAAACCTCAGTATTCAGGTTAAATTGTTGTGTTGGCACTTTGCGATAAATAAGTGGGTTTTGGGTCACAGTTTGGGCACTCGGTCTCTAAAAGGTTGGCCATAACTGCTCTAGCCTCATCATCATACTGTTCTCTCATATATTAGACTTCTTGTATTTAGACTTCTGCCATTCATAACAGGGCCCTTGACACCAAAGTTTTTAGATGTAGGCCCAGAGGATATAGGATTTTGAATGTAGAAAGCATTTTTCTGTCACTGAGCTTCATTCAACTGACTTCATAGTTCTGATTGATAGTTCAAAAAGGACAGAATTCATGAGGAAATCAAGATTTTTTACTGCTTATCTATAGCTTATATATAAACTTTCTCCATGCCACATTGTAGGACAATACAGATGGCCAAGCCCAAATTGAATGGCATGGTGTCTGTATGAAAGGAATTGGTTATACTTACAGACTCTTCTGGGCAATAAATTAGTTTGAATCACCTAATTTTTGTTCTTGTTGCCATTCTACTTATCATACAGAAATCAGCAAATGACTACAGCAACTTTGACAGAGAGTTTCTGAGTGAGAAGCCTCGATTATCGCACAGTGACAAAAACTTAATAGACTCCATGGATCAGTCTGCATTTGCTGGGTTCTCTTTCATCAATCCTAAATTTGAACAAATTTTGGAGAAATAATTCTTCAAGCATAGAACGACGTTTAGGTACAACTATAAATAGAAGCACTCCGTATGAATTGTGATCAAAGGATACCATCATCTCTCCGTCTTCATTTTCAGTGATGCTCAATAATGACTTATTATGTTATACTGCTGATTATTTGGCAGTAGGTTGTGTTTATGAATCCTTATGAATCACGTGTACATGATTTTTCTTTCCAGAGGGAAAAATGTAAATTGTGTGTTTGGTTACTTGACTGTAGTTATCTATTGGGGAAAGAAATGTATGTATATGCTGTATATTTTGCTGAAGGGATGGAAGATAGATTATTGAAGAGTGTCTTTTAAATAAAGTGGAACAGCTAGCCAGTTCTTTTATGTCTTCAAAAGAAGTAACTTGAATTTTTATTCAGCTTATTCTGGGCTTCAAATATTGCTATTTTTAATAAGTGCCAGTGAGGGATGTGGTGCTTTGCAGGCCTTACTCTTATGAGTTTACAACCTTTTAAATAGTATGTGTGGTTCTTGGATAAACACCTATTAAAGATCACGAGTCTTGCAGTTCTTAAAAAGTAGTGTGCCCATTCCTTGACAGATGGCTATCAGACTGCTAAAACTTAAACTGAAATATTAAATACTAGGAATAAGACCCATTGTGGAAATAAATACAATGGACTCTAGGAAGAGGCTCTAGGTGGGAGCCCTTGCCTTGGGCACTCAGTGTCAATTTGCTGTGGCAACCTCAGCAGGGTATAATGACACAGAGTCCACAATTTTCTGCAGGGGAACTGATCTCTACCATCTGGAGAGCTGTAATTCTGAGTGATCTCCACCCCTCACCTGGAGACTGGCAACAGTGGTTCCCCAGGAGGAAAAGTACAGTCTTTCTCTGCAGTGATCTGCACAACAGCCCTGTGAGGTAGGTTAGGCTGAGAGTCTGTGACTAGTCTGAAATCACCCACTCAGCTTCCACAGCAAGAACCTGGGTCTCCCCCTGGATAAAATAACTGCTTTGGAGGGTGGACTCTATGGCATTCTGTTCAGCTGAGACCTCTCCCCTCCCCAAATTCTGGCTTCCGTAGACTCCTCCACAAAATCTCCTGGAATTTCCCAACCTGGAGCTGACAACCCTAGTTAGGACTGGCCCCAGTGAGTTCTTCACAAAGGCCAAAGTAGGCCCGGAAAGGGCCTCTTCCCTTTGCTTTTTTACTGACAGAACCAAGCTTGGTTGCCTAGCAACAACCATTGAGGAGAAAGTAAGCCCACAGTAGTTTTGGCAATTTATTCAGATAGGGAATGGAAGTGGGTGGGGGAGAGGAGTGGACCCAGCACCCAGCCAATGGCATGCGAGTACTCTTGAGTGGTGGTTGATAGGCCAATGGCTGATGGAGCACACAGCACAGCCAGTGGGAGAGCCGGAAAGTGCCAATACCCTGGGCTTTTATATATATAGAATGAGGTATAAGTTCCCTAAACTCATTAGGTCTTAGTTCTGAATAAACCTCTGTAGAACCAGCCAGAGTGTCTTTAGTGAAGGCAGGTGTTCCTTTACCTGAGGAAAATCGATCTAGAATGTTGGACAATTTCATCTCACTCACTAAGCTTTTTCACAGGAAGTTATATATTCTTGGCTGACTATGATTTTCATTTCAACTTAGGCCAATACCACACTTGGGAGGTGGGAACTTGTTTGTATAGGAAAATGTGAAATATTCACAGAATATTTACTGTGATGCTGAAGCTTGAGAATAGACATTTAAATGTATTTTACAGAAAAACTTGTATGGGAAGGGGGGAGGAAAATAGGAAAAGAACACTGTGATAGCAATGTGTTGATTTGAATTGCTACTTGATATAGAAAGATGTAATGTGATTGAATAGTTTATAAAGCTTAAATAACAATGCGCCTATTCTCTTACTTACTGCAACCCTAGCCTTCCTTTGCTTCCTGATTTCCCCTTCTCCAGTTTGGGAAAAATCCTACCTGTACAGTGCAAAACTATAGACCTAAGGACATCTATAAAATAACCTGAGGAAAAAACCCAGCTTTGGATATGCTGGACTTCAAGTCAAATGTTTCAGCAACAATTATGAGCACCACAGGCTGATGAAGTACTCTGAAAGGCCTGCATTAGCTTATCTTCAGTTTACTTTAATACAGCTCTCTGCTTCCTCTTCCTGGAAGGATCCTGGACACCCCAAAATGGGAAATGCTTTTGTATTGGTTTTACAGCTCATGACTAAGTGTAACTGAAGCTGGTGAACACACCTTGATTTACAGAAGGAGGGTTTAGATTGAAATGTGTCAAAAACCTGAACATTTTGCCCTGACCTGGATAGCTCACGCAAGCCCAACCTTGTCAGATCTCTGAAGCTAAGCAGGACCGACCCTGGCAAGTAATTGGAAAGGAAACCTCCAAGGAATACCAGGGTTCAGGACATAGAGGCAGGCTATCAAACTACCTCTCTGAAACATCCAGACCCCACTAGAGGGTCGCCAGAAGTCACCATGACTTCCAGACATGCAAGCACACACACACACACAATACCCACACACAAAAACCCTGAACATTTTGTTATGGTTACAAATAAAATAAAAACATATTAAAGAAAAGACATTAATTATAAAAAAGAAACAAAGTGAGTCTGAAATTTCCCCCAGCTAATCTGAACCCTGGCTTTTGTTGCAAAAAAATTTAAGTTTCCTATGTTTATAGTAACTAAAAAATGGTCACATGATGCTGGCCATACTTCCAACTCACTGCAAGACATCACTTTCATGTGCCAAGTTTCATAGGTTACTCAAAATATTTATCCTCTAGGTATCAATATCACACACTTTGGCTTGGAATGAGGCAACTCTACACTTACTAGGTGTTACATTTTGAGGCTGCAGTACATTTTCCATTGCTACTATATATTCTTACAAGTTACATTTTATTGTTACAAAACAGTGAAGCACAGGTTTTAATAGTTTATACACTATTAGGTTTATTAACCAGGGTCTTAGCAGATGGCTATAACTATTCCATACAAATTAGAAAGTTTAATGGGAATCTGAACATAGTGAATCTTCCATATGTCAGGGAGTATGTGCTTTTGAGTATCAGGCCACTTATGGTAGTACAACTAAAAGTAGGAAAATGGAATTATTTAGTTAGCATATTATACAGCTACAGGAGTGGCTGAATAGTTAGGTCATGTCTGTGTTTCATTATTCTACCATTACAATGTCTGAATTCTACCCATAAAATCAACACAATTTGTCTTGGTGGTTTGACAATTGGCACACAAAAGGAATATAATCTCATCCAGTTTCAAAAATACCTGGCATGAAATGGGTATGTTGCAGAATAATTGACCATTTTAAATCTGTATAAAGTCTGTAACTGGTATTTGTGTACCCCCACCCGTCAGAAACCCCAAAACCTTACTAGAGCTGAAGAGTACATCCTAGAGTGTTTGGGATCTTAGATCCTGGGGCTTTCATTAGAATACCTCATTCATTTCCATTCTGTGTTGGGACATCCTGACAAACCTAATCCTTTTTAGACAATAGGAGAACCATTTGGAACAAGACCACTCTTTGTCATGGAAGTCAGAATAATTTACTACTACCGTGATGGGGCGGAACTATCATTTTAGTAATTTAGTAAGCCTTTGACATCAGAGATGGGGTTTGCATTGGATTGGCTCAACCAGCTACTCTTACAGAGGGGGCTAGCTCAAGTCGGATTCCATTGACCATAAATATTTGGACATTTGGGATTTTCCGTTGTCTTCAGCAGAAACGGGTCCACAGGAGGCTGGGAAGAGGTTCATCCACCATCTTGTTACTGAAAGGACCTCTGGACAGGCTCTCCATAGCGTAGGTGAAATGTAACCAGCTAAGTTAGACTGGCTTTATTGCTTCATTTGTAAGTCTGGGTACTGTGAGTTTGTGTGCCTTTTCCCTGTATTTTGCTCTGTCCTTTTTCTACCACTTTTGCAATCCAATCACCCTTTCCTCATCCCTTATTCTTTTATAAAGTCTTTTTTTTTTGCATCATTTAAATTCACTATGCCTCTCTGAGATATCTCTTCCCTACATGCTGCACTGCATGGACATTAGTTTTCCATAAGGTATTCTCCAGGGTTTACATGCTATTATTTCTGCATTCGTCTAGTACTGAGCTAGAAAGGACCCTTCTTAGTGGGTCAGTCTAGATGTTCTCAGGGCATCCACTGCGTGGTGGCTGTTGTTACCAGGTTCTTTCCAGAGAACTCTGAGTCTCAGGGAGTTTCCCAGCAAGGAAAGTCACCTTTCCCCCGTTACCATCACACACCCCAAATACCTTTATTTATTTCTTTAGCCTAGCCTACAGTGCCTGCCCAAAACACTTACTAATTGGTTTGGTGAAACCCCACTGTAGTACTTTTTTTTTTAAGGCAAGATTTCAAAATTCCATGTTAAATTATCCATTGTAATTATGATTATGTGCACATTCGGTAAAGTTGTCTCCAGTTAAATATCTTCCTGAGATAAAAATTATGCCTGATTTCCCTTGAATGTAGAGAAATGTGCTATAGCAAACCTTTTCAGAATTAACCTATTGCAGAATATTTCTTGTACTCAAAAAACTTTACTTTGAAGGGATTTTTGCAGCTCATTTTAATGCTACACAAGAATACTGTGTGTGAGAGAGAGAACGTGTTACCAGCAGGCAGCTTATGTTTTTCAGTGACTTTCCTTTCTTTGCGCTTTTTCAAGTATCCCACATCTGTTCTTTGCCCCAGCTTCCTCCTCCCTCCAAACAGAGCAGAGGGGTATGAAACTGTATAATCTTCTTCATGGTCTCTGTGCATCATACCTCAAAGAAACTTCGAAGAAAATGAGGAATAGGCCTAAAAGCCCAATTTTTTTTACCAACCAAAGCGGAGAAGATCCCACCAGCGTGGCGGTGAGAAGAGAACAGGCGGGATTGTCATGCCCCTCCCTTGGTCATGTGCAGTGGGGCTGGCACATGACTGGGGAGCAGGCAAGAAAATCCCTTTCGCTTTCTAGAGGAACCGATCGAAGTCGGCGCAGGCGCACTATCCCAGAAGATCATCAGTTACAGGTAAGCATCCTGTTTTTACCCACTTTTGCAAGCACTATTTCTTGAAGCATTTCCCCCCCAGACCAATA